GAGCTAAGAGTCCTGAGTGGAGGATAAGAAGGGAAAACTAGGAAAGAATGAGGGAATAAAAAGCTTTGTGAAACTCAAGCTATCAGATCCTGGGTACAAAGACTTGGGAAAGAGAGCAACATTACCCTATAAGGAATGAAAAAAACAGACTCTATGGGAAAGGAAATTCCTTTTTCTGGGTTGCTGGGTGAATCCTTGCAGGCCTGAAGCTTTGCTGAACCTAGGATGCTGTTTGGTGGTGAAAGAATGCAGAGACTTGACTCTTGTCTTCCCTGGGGAAAACAGTTGTACCCTTTTTAAAGAAAAGAAAAAAGGGAGAATGTGATCTAAAAATTTTGAGGTTCTCAAACAAAATAAAAATAAGCAAATTCTGAGTTGTTTTTTATTTTATGTTTTTTTGGGAGGGAGAATAGCTGACCCTCAGTATTATCACTTTGAGGTACCTTCAATAAAGAAAAGAGAATAGTAATCCTTAAGTCTCTCTGGTAGAACAAGCAAGAGCTCAGGCTGCCTGAAAGAAGTTTGAAGGTAGGGTGGGGGTGGGGGCAGGGAGAACTGCATACTTCCTTTCCCATTTCCTGTCAGTTCAGTGCCTGATACAGTGAAGAAAAGAATCTGGAAATGATCCCTCCTGGGTATTGTGTAGTCACTTTTGGGGGGCAAGGGCCCCTAAGCCCTTTCCTGCTTAGGCAATGATCCAGTAAGACAAAGTATTTTTTTTCCTTAAAAATGCTACATAGTAGGACATCTGCTTCCAATGTGTCAACTGACGAGTAGCATTTTATTCTATCTTGATTTAAAAATGTTTTATAATGTGCTTCAAGAGAAATTGGTTAGGAGTTAAAGAAAACAAAACATTTTTGGCAATAGATATGTATCAGGGATTTAAAATGGATATGTATCAGGGATGTATTATGTATCTAATGCTCTTTCCCTGTTGGCTTCATTATCAAAGTGCACTTAATAATAGAAAACAGAGTTCTAGGCTGGACGCGGTGGCTCACACCTGTAATCCCAGCACTTTGGGAGGCCAAGGTGGGTGGATCACAAAGTCAGGAGTTTGAAAACAGCCTGACCAACATGGTGAAACCCTGTCTCTACTAAAAATACAAAAATTAGCCGGGTGTGGTGGCACTTGCCTGTAATCCCAGCTACTCAGGAGGATGAGGCAGGAGAATCGCTTGAGCCTGGGAGGCAGAGGTTGCAGTGAGCCAAGACTGTGCCACTGCACTCCGGCCTGAGTGACAGATGGAGCAGCCGCCTCAAAAAACAAAAAAACAAACAAAAACATTGGGCTCCTTCTAATGGTGCCCAATTATCTTTGTCAAATACGTTGGTCTTAAGTGTAAGTTACACGTTTTTTTTTTTTTTTTTTTTTTTCAGTTCTGCACTCAAATGTATTTTTACTTACTCAGTCAATTGCCAGGTCTTATCTAGACTTCAAAGAGCTCACTAATGCTGGGGGATTGTGGCTTTCTCAGAACGGATGGGAGGTTAACAGATTATGGGTTTTTCAAAATTAGTTTTTGGGGAACAGGTGATTTTTTTGTTAATGGATAAGTCCTTTAGTGGTAATTTCTGAGATTTTGGTGTACCTGTCACCCGAGCAGTATACACTGTACCCGATGTGTAGTTGTCTCATATCCCTCCCCGACCCCCCAAGTCCCCAAAGTCTATTATATCATTCTTATGCTATTGCATCCTCATAGCTTTGCTCCTACTTATAAGCAAGAACACACGATATTTCGTTTTCCATTCCTGAGTTAGTTCACTTAGAATAATAGTCAGTTTATGTTTATAACTTGTGTTTTAAACCAGTAGCCAACCTTGGTATAGCTAGTATAATCAGCTATTTAAGAAAAAAAAGGTGTTTTGGATCACTGAAGCTAAGTAGGGAAAACCCTGAGGATTTTTACTACTACCACTATTTTGGAAGAAGGTTTTCTACTTTAGGCAAATAGAATTTTCTAGGTTTAAAAATTGATGGCATCAGCAAACCACCATGGCACTTGTTTACCTATGTAACAAACCTACACATCTGTCCTGCACATGTATCCCAGAACTTAAAATTTAATTTAAAAAATGTTTAAATGGCACTTATAAAAAATATGTAAATTCTCTTAAACATTATTTTTTGTTTTCTCCTCTTTAGCGAAGAGTGCTTTGATTTCTATGAAGGATAAATTATTTAAAAAAAAACCTTGAGGGTACTATGAAATACATAAATGGCTAGTTAAAAAATATTATTTGCACTTGCTGAAACATATCAGTTTAGTGTTTATGCTAGCTGTTTCATGCTAATGTCCAGAAAAAAACCTAGCAAGAAATTATATTTCTAAAGCCTAAGGACTGATAATAAAGATAAATAATTCTTGATTTTTCCTTAGCTTTTAATGTCTTTGCACTTGTGAAAAACACAAAAAAATTATAGGGAAATAGTTTTAATATAATTATTTTCAAAATCTAAAAAGTACAGTTTTAGACCTAGTAAACATAAAAATCTTCAGATTTCTATTATTATTATTATTATTATTTAGACAGAGTTTTGCTCTTGTTGCCCAGGCTGGAGTGCAGTGGCATGACCTTGGCTCACTGCAACCTCTGCCTCTGGGTTCAAGTGATTTTCCCTGCCTCAGACTCTCGAGTAGTTGGGATTACAGGCTTCTGCCACAATGCCTGACTAATTTTTGTATTTGTAGTAGAGATGGGATTTTACTATGTTGGCCAGGCTGGTCTCGAACTCCAGACCTCAGGTGATCCACCCACCTTAGCCTCCCAAAGTGCTGGGATTATAGGTGTGAGCCGGATTTCTACTAATTAAAAAGATGATATAATATTAACCTATTTCTCTGAAGATGTACTTAAAATCACAATACTGTGTTTAAGATTCTTGTATCTGTCAGTTTGTTTGGAATTTCGAGTGTGTAATTTCAACAGGTACTGTGATTTCATAGGCATACCAGTGATTAAAAAAAAAAAAAACCCTCAAATGGGGCCTCATTTTGATAATTAATCTCTTTCTCTGTTTAAAACCCACATATGTATATTAAAAGGAAAAACTAAATATATCAAACACATAGATTGTTCAAAAGAATTCCAGAGTCAAACAGAAAGTGTTAATTTAAAATAAAAAAAAAAAAAAATTTTTTTTTTTATATTTTTAAAAAAAATTTTTTTTTTTTTTTTTTTTTTTTTTTTTTGAGACAGGGTCTCGTCCTGTCACCCAGGTTGGAGCGCAGTGTCCTAGGCTCAAGCTATGGTCCTACCTTACCCTCCTGTGTAGCTGGAACCACAGGCATGTGTCACCATGCCCAGATAATTTTTGTATTTTTTGTAGAGACAGGGTTTCACCATCCTGCCCAGGCTGGTCTCAAACTCCTGGGCTCAAGTCATCCACCTGCCCAGTCCTCCCAAAGTGTTGAGATTATAGGTGTGAGTCACTACACCCAGCCAAGATTCTTTTTAGAAAAAGATTCTCCACATGGGTATTATTATATGAGGCAATCGAACACTGAGCCTCAATGTGAAATGAGAGATACATAATTAACTGTAGGAATTCTGGAATTAAAAAATAAAACAAAACAAAATATGGTTGTGTTCCTACAGCTAAAGCCAGAGTGATATGACTCCTTTAATAAGTTGGTTTCATTTTGTCATATTGTTACTCATTCCACTGCCTTCAAGGAAGTAGCTTGGACATTGACATAGAGATTTCTTGGTTGCAATCTCCACTGCCAATCAGTGATTAAACCTAACTTAACTGGGTTACTATTTGAGCAGATGCAGTCTGTTCAACAATGCTGTTAAGTAGTAGTCAACAATACTTGTTTATGGAAAGGAACACTTCCAGGTAGATTTCCTGAATTAGGGATCTTAAATTAGGACTCCGGAGCTGCTGGCCTGAAGCCCTTCAAGGGTATGACTCCCTTTTAATACCCAGTTATCACTGCACTAAAGTGGCTGGAGAGACATAGTCTATGGGCAGTTGGTGATGAGGGGGGAACAAGTAATCTGTGTTATCCCAACTTGAGCCTTGAGAAGAATTTAATTTGTGGCAGTCTTCCAGGGATGGACAGTCTTGGAAAATAAACACTGGGCATCAGGTTTGGCCCTGTACTATTTTTTTCTCTTTTATATTTTATTTTAAAATAGGTATAGGATCTCGCTTTGTTGCCTAGTTGCACTCAAACTCCTGGCCTCAAGCAATCCTCCAGCTCGGCCTCTGAAAGCTCTGGGAGTACAGGCATGAGCCACTGCACCTGGCCACCCTGTAACTATTTAACTTTTCTTGTAACCTCTAATGAAAGCAGAAGGGACAACGAACAATCCAGTTTTCTTTTATAACGGCTTATTTTTAACACTGAATGAGGCCAAGGGTGAACACATTTTTCAGAGTTCAATTATATCATATTCATAGTTAAGCTACAAAGATAAAAAACTATTATGCTAAATGAAAATCCCCCATCTCTAAGAACAGAAATATCTTACTTTTTCGATGAAGAAACTCTGCAACTAGAGCTGCTACATGGACATAACACATCGCAGCCTGAAAAAGGATGACAAAGAAATAACTGTCAGAACACGCTCAAGGTGTTTCGGAGGATTGTTTAGAACCAAACTTTGAGTAGTCACCTCTGAAAAATCTCCATTTTTAACATGAATCTTGGCCATGCTATCAAGCCAGGTTTTCCTGAGCTCTGGGGTGCTTGCATAGGACTTGGCTAAGCTATACTGGAGATCAATTAGCATTTCAGGGTCTTTCTCATGCTCCTTCATTTGGGCAGTGGCCATAAGAACAGTGCGGATTCTCTTGGTCAAGTCTTTGACTTCTGTGGGAAAGGCAGTTGCCTAATTTCAAAACAAACAAAAAAGACATGTTGAACAACAATATCGATGAGCTCTAAGGCTTGTAATCCAATGCTGAGGACATAATATGATTTTCACTTCCTGTTACAGCTCTTGGTATTGCATATAGTACCACTGAAAGAATTTTAAATAAATTATTTTAAAAATATGTAACTAGCCCAGGCTTTGAAGGCTCTAACCTTGGTGGCAGTATATTCACAGGGTGTAAACGCATGAGCTCTGGAGCCAGACTACCTGGCTTTGCATCCCAGATCCTCCATTGTGATTTCCACAGCCATGGGAGTGATCTATGTTTGCCGTTTTCTTGTAACAGTAACCAAAAATTGACAGCTTACTATGTGCCAAGCACTGGTCTGGGTTCTTTGCATGTTTTAATTTTTATGATAACCCTGTAAGTACTATTATTATTATTATTATTATTATTTTGAGACAGAGTTTCGCTCTTGTTACCCAGGCTGGAGTGCAATGGCATGATTTCAGCTCACTGCAACCTCTGCCTCCCAGGTTCAAGAAATTCTCCTGCCTCAGCCTCCCAAGTAGCTGGGATTATAGGCATGTGCCACCATGCTGGGGTAATTTTGCATTTTTAGTAGAGAGAGGGTTTCTCTATGTTGGTCAGGCTGGTCTGAAGCTCGTCACCTCAGGTGATCCGCCTGCCTCAGCCTCCCAAAGTACTGGGATTACAGGTGTGAGCCACCATGCCTGCCTGGCCAGTACCATTATTAAAAAGCATTTAAATGCTTGACCAAAGTCTCAAAATTGGTTTATGTTAGAGACAGGATTTTCACCCAGCCAGTCTGGCTCTAGAGCTGATGTTCTTAGCCACTCTTCCATTCTGATGTGCACACCTACTGCATCCATTAACTACCACATACACTAAGGTGAAAACCATACTGCAAAAATGTCTACTTATACAAATGAGAGGTCATGAATCAACAGAATATTCCAGAAAGTTTAGAGAGATCATTAAGCTTTCAAAGTTTGTTTTTGGCCCCAAGAACAAGAGTTTCCTCTTTATCCTAGCCTCTGCTAAGGAAGTCCTATCACATCCTCTTAAACTGCATCGGAGTAATCACAATTATCTATATGATTCAGAGATGATGAGAAAGAAGTATAGGAGTTAGGGAGCTTGCCAATATGAACACAATAAAATGTGGGGAAAATGGTTTTAAAAACTGCCTTCTTGGCCAGGAGCAGTGGCTCATGGCTGTAATCCCAGCATTTCGGGAGGCCAAGGCGGGTGGATCACCTGAGGTCAGGAGTTCAAGACCAGCTTGGCCAACATGGTGAAACCCCACCTCTATTAAAAATACAAAAAATTGGCCAGGTGTGGTGGCTCACACCTGTAATTCCAGCACTTTGGGAGGCCGAGGCAGGCGGATCACGAGGTCAGGAGTTTGAGACCAGCCTGACCAACATGATGAAACCCCGTGTCTACTAAAAATATAAAATTTAGCTGGGCACAGTGGTGCATGCCCGTAATCCCAGCTACTCAGGAGGCTGAGGCAGGGGAATGGCTTGAACCTGAGAGGTGGAGGTTGCAGTGAGCCAAGATTGGGCCATTTCACTCCAGCTGGGGCAACAAGAGCGAAACTCCATCTCAAAATAAATAAATAAATAAATAAATAGAAATTAAAAAAAATTTGATTCCTTTAAAAACAATAATTATATACATAAAGTTCTTTTATATACATTAATACAGATCCCATTCACCAGGGGAAAGGCGTAGCTTTTTGTAATAGGGTTTGTTGGTAATGACTGCCTTAACAGAATAAAACTAAGTCATTTCATAAATGAGTTAAGGAAAAGAAAAGATTTCCTATCAAGGAGAGCATATACAAACCCCATTTACTCCCAAAAGCTTACCAATTTACCTATATAACATGGTATTAAGGATGGTGACAACTGGTAAAAACAATTTCTTAGAGTATAAGCATAAGTGGTGTAACTTGTTTCTATGCTCACAGGATTAGCTAGAGTGTATACTGATTCCCTGGGGAACTGGTAGAGCTGGCTGAAAAGCAAACTTTCCCAGCCTGAGAGCGGCTGGCACTACACACTGTTATTTTTCAGTGCAAGCAACATTCCTATGGGAATATTTTTTGGTACACAGATTCTACATATCCAAACATCAAATATGCTGTGAATATGAGCTTTTAATCTTTTTCAGATTTTACACAATATTGGCAAACTGTGCTGGAAGATGAACTTTCCCAAGAATGAGGATGATTCATTCTTCTGGGAGGAAAAGTCCTCTATTGGCAAAAAATTCTTCTTCACTTGTATACATGTGACACTGAAGATCAGAACCTGTACTTCACGCAACGAAGCAACAGATGCATTTTTACAGTGCTATAAGTTTTAAGCATATAGGAAAGAAAGCAGAACTGTGGTCAGAGTCTTGGGTTTGGCCTCAAGAAACTGGTGCTAAAGAATGACAGCCCTGGGCATGGATTTGCCAATAAGTATCTACAGCAATCTACAATCTGTTAACAGATAATTTTTAAAACTTACGAAACCATCAAATAATGAATCCCTTCTGTGCCATTCCTCATCCACTGGCAATGGATCAGGCAACTGTTAACTATTCTATGTGAGATTTTGTGAAATTTCAAATTCAGTGCTTATTTAACCAAGATTAATAATTGTAAAGAAAGAAAGGATCTATGTATTTTCTGAGCAAGTTTGGAAATGAAGTCTAGAAAAACAATTCAGATTCGACTTGCCATAACAACTATCAATATATAGTATATTCATTCATCTATCCACTAAACTGATATCGAATATCTGCTATGTACCAGGCAGTGTTCTAGGTACTATATAGTGATGAACAAGTCAAAGCCCTTAACTCATGAAACTCACATTCCACACATTCTATACTATCCAAAGCTATGAATCCAATAACAGTTTAAGAGTTTAAATTTCCCTGATAGTAAAGGTGGTTCTAATTTATTATTTGAAATGAGAACATACCTTCATAGGTCTGTCACTATTTGCAAAATTATTGATTATGAATAAAGACTCCTGAAATCTTGATCCTCCGCTTAGTGCTACGTCAGCTATCAGTTGGCTTACAGCAATTATTATCTGTGGGAAGAAGTAAACATTATTTTCTAAATACTTTTTGAACAAATGATGCTTATTCTCATCATTTTATAAGTACATAAGCACTCACATGAAATGCTTCTTTTAAAGATTCTACACTGTACCATCATAATGTATTTTCTTCATATATAAGGGGGTTACATTCTTCTGCTTTCGACAAGCTGCTTATGGTTGTTTCTCCATTAATAATCTTGTCTCCAGTAAACAACTCTAATGGGACAGACCATGGCAGTGAAGATATAAAAAGGACCAAGGATTTCTTATATTACAATGAGGGCCACTGAGTCAAGCAGTCCCAATTGTGGTTTAGTTCAGAACTATTTCACCCAATAAACCCCAAAGTGTGGAGATGTTGAATAATGACTATCATGTAGGAAGTATTAATCATGTGCTGCACATTGCATCAGGCACTACACGCACCTTGTTTTAATCCTCAGGGTAACACTGCAAAGTGAAATATCCAGTCTCATTTTATAGATAAGGAAACAGGTTCGGCCAGATTGAGTGACTTGCTTAGGGTCACACAGCAAGTAAGGATTTAAGCTATGATTTAAGCACAGGTAGGCCTGATTCCAAAGTCCATGCTTTCCACTAAACCTTGAGACATCTTTCGTTTTTAAAGTAAGTAGGCATACTGGAGCATGAAAAACATAAACTGTGTCATCTGTTCTATAAAATCTAACAAGCTTGTTATGTAATCATCTCATTTAATCCTCATAAAAACTCTATGAGCTAGGTAACAATATTTACCCCACTGAATTTGCAGAAGCTGAGGCACTGAAAGGCTAAGGAAGTAACTTGCTCCAGGTCATTTAGGATGTGGCAGTCCTCAAATCTGAACTAGAGACTGGGTGCGGTGGCTCACGCCTGTAATCCCAGCACTTTGGGGGCTGAGGTGTGTGGATCTCCTGAGGTCAGGAGTCCAAGACCACCCTGGCCAACATGGTGAAACCCCGTCTCTACTAAAAAAACAAAAATTAGCTGGGCATAGTGGCACATGCCTTTAATCCCAGCTACTCAGGAGGCTGAGGCAGGAGAATAACTTGAACCTGGGAGGTGGAGGTTGCAGTGAGCCAAGATTGTACCACTGCATTCCAGCCTGGGTAACAGAGCAAGAGTCTGTCTCAAAAAAACAAAAAACAAAAACAAATCAGAACTAGAACCTATGCTCTTAATATCCTTGCTCTAGAATAGCTCTGTTCCGTAGAAATATGGCATGAGCCACATACGTAATTATCAATTACCTAGTAGCTACACTAAAAAGAGATACAGCTGAAACTTATTTTAATATACTTAACCTAATACAGGCAACATCATTTCAATGTATAATCAATATAAAACAATTGAGATATTCTACTTTTTTGCATACTTAGTCTTCAAAAGCTATAGTACATTTTACACTTTCAGCATGTCTAAATTTAGACTAGTCACATGCCAAGTGCTAGATGACCACACTGTATTGGGCTGGTTGGGTGGCTCTGGATCTTGATCTAGAGGTTAAAGATTGAAGAGAAGAAAGATGAAGAGGTGCTTTTATTTTCACTGACCTGTAGATGTGTCCTCAGGAAGGTTTTCCTTTTGGTATACTCAAAGTTGTTTCTCATCAAAAGATACAAAAGTGCAGATGCTTCATTCCTGGTTGAGCTAATCTTTGATGTGCAGCACTTTAAAACCTCATAGCAAAATGCAGCACACATGTTTACTCTTCCTTTGAAAAAGGCTGAAGGGAACTAAAGAACAGGGAAAACAGAAATAAGTATCTAAAATCCAATCATAAAATCAATAGAATATCAAGTACCTTCTATATCCTCACCTAAAACTATGCTGGGTGCTTTGAGGATACTAAATCAACATAAGGCAGGCTCTGCTCTCCAGAGAGCCTGAACTAGTTAACATAAACACCAGCATGCGTTAATAACAGAACTTAAGTCAGTATACAAGTTGTTAAAAGATGTAAAGGTACTGAATATAAATGCTATAAAAGTAATGGTAAAAATCGCAATTACTTTTGTACCACCATAATACAATAAACAGGTTCTCAGTATGTTTTGAAAGAATGTCTGAAATGATGAATGATGGGTCTCAAATGGGGGCGTAAAAATGGGACGGTCAATTTTCATTAGTTACTCTACTGCTTTATATTTCAACAGTTCCTTTACTGTGAACATCCAAGTGCTGAGAAAATTATAGCTAAAATCTACTCAACAAGAAAAGTTTATCTTTTAACAAAATGGGATATAGGAGGTACGTACACCCCCGCCACACACACACACACGCATCCTCTTCGCATAAACACCGATAGTTAAGATGCATTTTAGTAAAGAAAAAGGGTATGAAAGTGACTAATTATCAAAAGAGACAAGTAGTCTGTTCCTTTGAGAATGTATTCAGTCTGCTTTGTGTAAGACAAAATAAACACATAACATAGACTTGTTATAATTTCTCATGCTTATAGGTCTAGATAAGAGAGTAATAAAGCTGCTTCAGGGTACACAAT